AATGAAGCCAATTCATAGATGGGGATTATTAGGAGGCCATGATTGGTAAGGGCCAATAGGAAATTTGCCCAGGATGCCGGGGTTACGTCCCTACTCTTTTCGAGAAACACCTCGGTTTTACGTCTCATCCGAAGGACTGTACATAAATTTAACACTATTTCCCAACTTTGCTCTGAAGATTCCCAATGTTTTGTAAAGTCTGATTAAGAGTCCCAAACCTAATCGCAGCATAAACATACATTTTAAATTCTTCTCAATTGAAAATATCTTTAAATTAGATATTAATGCAAAATGGAATGACTTTGTTTTCTTGAGCACTTACTGAATAAATATATTTTTCCCTACTTACAGGATTTATTTTGATCTTAAGAATATGCTTTAGGTGTAAAACAATCTCAATAGTGGATTATTGTCCTTTATACTGGCCTTCAGCCATGGTGTTCATGCTTTCAAACCTTAGTTTTACAGATCTTTCTACAATCTTACCTATACTACTGTATATAAGGATATTAGTTTTACATTTTCTGTGTCTGCACCTTGTATCTCAATGGTTCTGAAGAGATCTTTTGGTCTATTTGTGCTCATCGATCCAAGACAATGAATGAAAATATTTTTTAACTATGTTAAATGCAAATATCTAACGTGGTCCTACTGAGGTATTTGTGGTATTTCAAAAAGGACTTCCCCTTTACATGAAATTTAGCTCTAGACTTAAGTTACATTAAGTAATACATAATGTACATTATCAGACATTTACATCACAAAAAGTTCTGAGAGCAAGTGCTTTTGTTATAAGAAAAAGAAATGGAACAGAGTTTTGGGGAAACAAGAAATGTGTTGATCTCATGCCCATCTTATTTTGCAGTCTGCCAGGGTGTGGCCATTGCCAATCAAAGCACTGGATTTGTCGAGAGCCCTAACTACCCCAATACCTACCCCCATTATGCGCAGTGCAGCTGGACCATTCAGGCTTCTGCAGGGAACACCATAAACTATACGTTCACTGCCTTCGATATAGAGCCACTGTGCGATTATGACTATATCAAGGTGAGTTCCAAATCTCTTTATGGCAATACCATTCTCATGCCACATAGTTTTTTTTGCTTTGCTTCGATACCTTATCATATGCTTTACCACAATTTAATTTCACATTTCTACATGTTGCTGTGCTTTTACCATGCTTTTACACAGTACACTTGTATAAGGCTCTGCCTTGCAATCAGGCATGTGCACTCTAAATGTGGAGGTGCAGCGTGATTGTGGTTGAACTGGCAACACAAAACAGAGTAATTGTCCCAGAGTGTTTTCCCAGCTGTTAAAAGAGGATGCAGTGGATTGTGTAGCCTCCTGACTGGTGTGGCCCATGAGAAACACTAACAATTTAATGACAGGATGTGCATTGGTAGGATATCTTTATCAGACTAGGTATTATTGCTCGGTTCTCAGCATGCCATCTCATTGTTGTCTTATTCTATTTTGGGTGAGTTTCCACAGTTTATAAAAGAGAAAAAATAAAATGAGATGAGCTCAGACATGTAATGCCATTGAGATTATTTAAATGGAAAGTAGGGACATCTCAGACAACTTTTATTTTAAAATTTTGCTTCCAGTAGAACTGAGAAGACTGTAAGCTTTGAGTGGAAAGTATTTATTTAAAGTTTGGGGTAGGTTTGCTTTTTTTATTTAATAGGATTTTAATTTGCACACTGTTTTAGATATTATGAACATTACCTTTCTCTAGATTTAGAACATCTTTCCACTGGCAAAAGCAGAGATTGAAATGATATGATTGATTAGAATGAATAAAACATGTTAAAAAAATCAGGTTAGAAAGCCCACATAGAAGGTCACTCCTGTTAGATCATATTTGTCATTTTACTTGGGTGGAGTAATGTAAGTTTTAAATGAGGGCCCTAGTTGTTACTTTACTTCCTGGTGACCAAGACTGAAGCGTTTCTATGAAAACATGCATGACATCACACTACTGAGTTAAGCATATTACTTCACTGCCCAAATGCTGTTTAGACCTTCTTTCATTTCCTTATTAGGTGAATGTAATGTGTTTTGCTGTGTTCACCAGAAAGTAAAGGCTGTGGTTACACCAAACCATGTACTACAACCCTATCTGAAGTAATGATCTTACTAACAGAAAAGGGGTAGCTTTTAATTGCATTAAATTCCAATTATATTTTAAGACTCAATTCGTATATTTCCAGTCATACATTTATAATACGGACAGCTAACTGCTATATTTTGACAAATGGACATAAACAAATCATAGTGCCACAAAAGGATTTCAGCTTTTATTGTATTTTTGTGAACAGTGTTGATCAAAACCTTGTAGATTCCTCTTGGAAGGAAGCTCATAAAGGTGTAGCACAACAACTGTTTTCTGTTTTACGCACACCTTCAGATGCAGCAGATGGTCATTTTTATTGGCAGGGTGAAAAGGAAGATAATATTTCTTCATATTTTCTTTACCAGTTTGGAAGGCAGATTTCTTAATGAAAGTACCTCAAAAACTGTGCCCCTCCAGACATTTATTTGCACACTTTTAATTCTGTGCCAATATACTGTAGGTATTTTTTTTAAAGTTACTGGAGATTAATTTCAGTACATCCACATGAATACAGCAGCAACTAAGGCAGTGTTTCCCAATCTTTGGAACTCCTTTCATTAGTGCTAATGTTTGCTACTTTCCTTTAAATGAGCTGACTGTTGTGTAATTGAACCCATAAATCATCAAAACATTTATATTTCCAAGAATATGTAGTAAGCTTGAAATTTAAAATATAAATATAAAGAAACGATTAAAAATATACAAATAAAAAATTTTATTTGAAAAATAAATTGGGGAATTAGACAGCAGCAGGGATTAGGATTAGGACATTAGCAGTTAGGGTTATGGATTTTCAACAGAAAAGTTGTAGATTCAAATGCCATGTCAGACACTGCAGGTGTATCCTTGATTAAAGTACTTTGTGTAGATTGTAAAACACAAATGCTTAATAAAATGTGTACAAGTCCAAGTCAGTTTAGAAATAAATTGAATAAAGTAATGTGGAGCTAACCACAAAGCTACAGTTTAACATGTCACAAGGCTTAAAAGTGAAATTATATTTCTCTTCCAAAATGACTGTCATATATTTTCTTTAGATGCAACAACAATTCCTTTATGAGATGCTATTGAGACTCAAGGAAATACCATCAAACGCTGTTGCATTCTCTTCCAAAGGACTGAGGATAAGCAGATGTAGTAACATAAGCACATAAGAATATTTGCGATCAAGATCAGGCCATTCAGTCAATCTAGCATGTTAAATTTTAAGTATTTTGCTGATCCAAGGATCTCTTTCAGAGGTGTCTTTAGAAGGGTGATGATATCTCACCCACAGTGAGAGACACAGTAAGGTAGTAAGTGATGGGGTCTTAAATTATGGTATCAAAGCCTGTCCTTTAATCTCAGGATGTTTAAATTGTATGTAGTTCCCATAGGAATTATTTCTAAATGTCTTGGTTTTGCATGTGGTGGCCTAAGAATTTTACATTTTACAAATGAAAGCAAAAAGAGAATTAAAAGTTGCACTTAAATTACATCAGATCTCTATGGTAATGAGTGCCTTTGATAGGTGTTCTAGCAGTCCAGGTTGGGCTGAGTCAGATTCAGCAGCAGAAATGTCTTCCTTTGTCTCATCTTAATTTAAAATGACTATCTTACTTGCTTTATTGCATCCATGGTTTTGCTCCATTTCAGATTATTGTTATATTGTACAGTTTCATTTAACAAAGTTGTCTGATTTCTGTTTTTCCATACAAATTAATTGCATGTCCATAACCCTTGGGTGCTGTTGCTTAGGTGTTATTCTAAAAGCTGCTAACGCTTGATGCTTCTCTTAGGCCCTCTCTCAACAAAACACTCCCTCTAGTCACCTACTCTTTAAACACATGATCCTCTCAAATGCTAATCTATGTTTCTAAATTTATTCCTAACCCAATCCAATAATATTTCAAAAAGACTGTTAGGTTTCTTCTGCTCAAAAATTTGTCAAAGACTGCTTTTCAAATTATTCATTGGTACAAACCTGAAATATAATCATAATAAACTTCTTTTACATGGCACTGTTAAAAGTAGTTTCTCAACATGCTTTACAGAAAGAAAAAATCAATGATATTATATAAAAGAGTAGAATAAAAAACAAGGATTTTGAGTGCAGTGGAAGATGCAAAGGCACAGATATCAATAAAGTAAAACTATTTCTGAAGCTCAGAGTAGATGACTTTCTAAATATCCTTGGGGACAGAATTCCAGAGCTTTGAGGCAGAACAAGAGAAAGTCCGGTCACCCATTGTATGTATAAATATTCTAAATAAATAGAAGAAGATAAATGTGTTGACCAACTTTTCAGCTATAGTCAGAGACAATAAAGGATAGAGTCTGCCTATATTTCTGTGATGGAAGAATGTTTTTACAATATTTTACACATGTGGGTCAAACGTCATGCCTAAATCAAATATTACCTGAAGTTCTTCAATTTCGATAGAATTTCAATTATAGTGCCATCTACAAATAGGGTTGCTGCATTAGCTTTACAAAGTCGATGAGAGGTGCCAAGGAGCATCAGTTTTGTCACAGTTTCAGTGAAGAAAATTTTGAGTCATCCAGGTTTTTATTTAGAGATGCAATTAGATAGCAAATATGGCCACTTCAGTGTCAGGTTTAGTATGGATGTAGATTTGAGTATCATCAGCATAGAAATTATAATTCAGACCATTTGACCAAATGGGAACATGGGAACATAGTAGAGGACCTACTATTGAGCCCTGAGGAGCAATAGATTTAATGATCCCATCTTCAGAGCTGAAACCCTGAAGAGAGACAAAGTGTTGGCAGTCAGTAAAGTAAGAGTTGAACCATTTATGAACAATCTTAGAGACTCCAAACATAGTTTCAAGACAAGAAAGTAAGATGTCATGGTTAACAGTGTAGAATAAGGATTGATAGAGAACCAGAATCAGAAACCATAAGTAGATTGTTACTGAATCGAGCTATACTTTGTACTCTCTGGCTTTATTTGCTTCAGGGACCTTTAATGAAATGAAATGATATATTTGCGTAATATGAAAACCATTATTGTTCTAACTTTTTTCTAACTCAGAACTCTGATTGTAGTGTATTACAGCTCTACTTTGGAAACATTATGTGAAATATAATAAAAAAATGGAAAATATTTAAAATAAGAAGTAAAGAGAAAAGTGATTAGTACAACTGTGTTTTGTACTGTAACAAAGAAGATTAATACCAGAAATCTTAACCACTGACAAGTTTAACCTTTAGGGCAATCTAGTTCACAATGGGGGCATTACAACACTACTTTGAAGTGAGAATCCACCAAAGAGATCTGCACTTTTTTTCTTCATTACTATAATAAGTCAAAGTTATCCATCATGATAATCACTCATTCAGACAGCTCTAGAGAGTAAACAGCTATATCTACAATTCGGACAGAAGAACCTTTTCTTTTTATATTATCAAAAAGACAGAGCAGAAGAAAATACAGTGACCTGGTTAGGATAATACCTGATCGGTAATTTAATGTTAGATCTTAAACTTCCTTTCAATAAAAAGGTGTGCCTTTTAATAAAACTTAGTGAAGACTACTCACCCTCCTTACTATGGCAGGAAGATTATTGGTGACAACCTGTTCTGTAACTGTTTTAGGAGAAAAACACGATTTTATTTATCCTTAAATAAAGGAATATTATTATATTTTCCTTATAATGGACATTTATAGACAAACATTTTAGACAAACATTTTTGTAGGTTTCAGGGTGGTAAGGGTTACGTTGCAGTGCATTGTTTTCATTGAATGGGGCAGTCCAGTGAAAGCTGACTGTGAGCTAGATGCAGTTCACCCTCCGTGATGTCTCTTTCTCTCAGTTACACAGTGTGTTGTTGCCAAAAACATCTCTACAGTTCATTCTGTTAGTTCTGCATTTCCCTTTGTGTCCTCTTGTCACATTTTACACTTTGTATTCAGATGTGTGGCACATTGAACATACTTTAGCTTCATTGGTATGGAAGATGAAGGAAGAACATTTCTATTGTGTATCATGTATTTCTTTTTATTTCAGACAAACAATTCAAGGTGTTTAAGTCATATGCTCTCTTGGCATTCTTTTCATATTTTAATGTTATCCATGTACAGTATCAAACTAAAATATTTGTCTTCATTCTTAAGTTTAAATAATTTTGATAATGTTTTCTACTCTTTTTGCTTTACTTTTTGTGTTTTAGAATTATGTGATTGCATATATTGTGTGCTGTGTATTTATTAAGTTTCATTCGTGTCTCACTTACTATGAAATCTATGTCATTCCAGGTCTATGATGGGCCAAATGATCAGTACCCTCTCATTGGCACTTTCTGCGGTGACACACCACCTCCAGCCAACACCACATCAGGACCCAGCTTGCATGTGGTCTTCCGATCGGATTCCTGGGTGGCACACAATGGCTTCCAGATGCTGTGGTACCAAAACGGTAACATGGATTCCAGCTATGGGATCACTGCTAAGCCATTGCTCAAAACCGAGTCCAGCTTCACAAACAGGGCTTTAAAGGAAGCAAAAAGCTGTTGCTTCACTGAATTCTTGCTTTTTTACTTTGCATTTAACAGCAAAGAGATTTTTGAATGCATGATGATTTTATTTTTGTTTATAATTGTAAGAATTAAAAAAGAAAGGAATAAGGAAAAAAAAAGAATCCTTTGCAACTAGAGATGTCGGAACACATTAGCTCCTTGTTCGGGCGTGGCAGCTCTTTCAGTACTCAGTATGATGGATTGCATAAAAGCCCTCCCTCTGCAATAACTTCACACACTCTGTTGAGTCTAGATTGCTTCTTTTTGGCAGCTGCCCTCTGACTCAGAGGCCCCAAGAGGGAGAAGGCAGTGTGAATTTTTCTCTTTTTCTCCTGGTATTTATTAGCTGCTTCCTGTACATTCATTCTTCCATTCTTTCCTGGAAACAAACAAAGGCTACAAGATTTTTAAAATGACAGGATTATAGGATTTTTGTTTTCAATCTAAGTCTTTTCTTTTTGAAACTTTCATTCCGGAATGTACAGAATGTTGTAATGAAATTATTTAATCTATGTAACTTTTCCCAGTCAAACTCAAAAGGTTAAGGTGAAGTTTTGTGGAGTTTGCTGTACTACTTAGGATAGGACTTTGGAAAGACTGGTCCCCAAGTAGAAAAGTCTGACATTAGACTGATGTTACTTTTATTTGAAGCCTGATGTCATAATTTGGATTTAATATTATTTATGTTGAAAGAAAACTTAAAGTCACAAAATGAAGTGGCAAAACTAGCTAGTTGATCACTGATACTTTATCTAAAGGTTTCTTTAAAAAAGGACATGCTACATCAAATAGGAATAGGTATAATATTTTGTTACTAAAGCCCACAGCTGAATCAACTCTACTTATCTCTTGTCTCTGCAGTGTCCAGAGTTTTTGCTGTTTGTAGTATGACAAGATCATAGCTGCCTTTTAGTCACACATCTCTCATATTACACTGCATAATCAATGGAATTATCATTCTGGTGAAGGATATCCTTGAACTTTTGGAGAGCTTTGAGGATCAAGGGTTAACTAAAACAAACCACGTTGAAAGTGGATATGGTCTAGTATAAAAAAAATGGAGGTTCTGTGTCAGCTTCCTATTAGTTCCAATTCAAAACCCTGACATGCAAGTTTTATAACCCACATTTGTACAGCAACCAATAGAAAATAACTAAATGTGAGTCCCCCCTTGCCATATGGTTCCTTAATTACTAACATTTGAGCCAAAGAAGCAGAAGGTCAGTAACTTCTTTATTTTTGCAACTTTTTTGTTTGTTATTCAGTTTCCTAGCAACGGGTCTCGGGACAGGGGCATTTGTAGATTTTTAGGAGGAATAAGGGATTTGTCACAGTCATAATGTAGAGGAAAGGACCATTTAATATTTTTCTGAAAGTTACTCATGTTTTCCAGCAAAGAGGTATGGAAAAAGAAATATAAAACATATCAGTGGTGGGTTCTGTGGAAACTCCAAGTCTCCAGTTTAGGTATTTGGACTGGAAACCCAATATTCAACTGTTATATAACTTCATGTTAGTCATGATTACTTGTCTCTCTTTAGCAACTATTTAGCACCTTGTACTGGTGAAATTTTTAATTAAAATCCAAACCAATAGAACATCAGGTGAAAATGTAACTAGATATTTCATATTGCGATATTGCGTGGATTGCTGCAGACAGTTGTGAATTGAAATCTTATTGATGGGAAATGAACAATATCAGAACTTATAAAAGTGCAGGCAGGTGAATCTTATCTAGGTAATAAACTCCATATTCAGCAACATCTTAACAAACGTCTTCCTTTTCTTTGTATTTTTGTGAACTAAAATTGATTTGAGATCTTTTTTCTGAGAAATGTATTTAACTGTAATTTAAACATGTTAATGGGAGAAATACTGTATATAAGAACATAAGAAAGGTTACAAATGAGGGGAGGCCATTCTGCCTATCTAGCCTCTTTGATATTTATTTTTGATCTTATCCGGGGTCTATTCCAGCTATTTTGTAAAAGAAACCAGGGTGTTGGCTTCAACAACTTGGCTGAGCAGCTTGTTTGATACAGTATTTCCACTGTTTTTTAAAGAAATTTTAATTTTAATTTAAATGCAGTTTCATGTACATGTAAAAATACATAAAATGATATATAAAACATTGAGAAACAAAGAGAGGAAGACAAGATACACCTGTCATTAAGGGTCTGGCATTCATTTTCTTTAAAGTATAGAGCAAAGGGAGGCAGTCTGTGAGTCATTTCCCTCTGGTGTGATCCATGATTTCTGGGTAGGGCTTGGGCTATTTTTAATAATTGGATGAGAATCCTGTGCTCCAGCTCGTGCATTTTAGTGCTAGGCTTGCTCTGTTTTTGTTTCGGCCTGTATCTCAAGTCTCAAGCACTGTTCTAAGAATTGGTGCACACCTTACAACTTCACTGTCAGGAGAACATTGGGAGTTAAGGAGTTGCAGCTGAGATCTGGGTTGCAGGAGAAAGAGTCCACAAAAGCCTTGTTCTGCAGGCCTGCCAGCCACATTTTTAACAGAGCTCATTGATGAATAGTCTTAATTCTATATGAGAAAGTCATTTGGAGTACAGGTAGTTTTGGTAAAATATATAAGGGTTTTCACTCAATGTAACGGAACAACATTACATCTAAGGTTCTGTGCCATTTCCCAGCTAGTATTGTAAATGATAATACAGTAGTAAAGGTCCAGTTTCTGTAAAGCAAAAAAAAAAACACATAGAAGCTTTCATTTGATTTTAAAGAGTATAGTGTGAGTGCAAAGACAAAGTTTAAACAATTTTTTAGGCAAGAGAGATTTTTTTCTGTGGTCTACAGGCCAAATTAGATTTTTTTTGCAGCTTGACTGGGCTTCAGCAGAATGGGTGTGTATTTTTTACTTACGTTTTTGACAGAAATAAACAATTATGACAAGTAGTGCAGTACTGTCTGGTAATTATTTTTTTCCACATGGTCTCCCTGGAGACTGGAAGATGATGCCCTGTACTATGTCTGGGGTCTGCTACTACTGAGAAGTACTGTAGTTTTAGACTTGTCAGATTCTGATTCCAATTTTGCAGATTTACGATCCTAGAAATACTGATGCTCATACTGATTTTGCAAAGCCATAATACTGAGGAGTGACGTTTATAAAAGCAGAAATTTCTCTTTATCCATATTATGCTCCTTTTTTCCTGCCTGGTGAAGCAGTGAAAGTAAAAATGAATAGGAAAAGACCTGGAAATGCCTGGGGCAAAGATAAGACCATATCTAGTCATGCTGGTAGTATCACAGTGCACATTGGCAATAATAAGCAGCTTGTTTTATGATAAATTTTCAATAGGTCATTCATATTTCTGAGTCATTATTATATGCTTCATGTGTTTCCACTATATATGAATATAGACTTATTTTGCTTCAGGCAAATACTTTTGAAAGTAAAAGGGCCTCTCTACTGGGAGAAAGTAAAGCTTTTCCTAACCTTCCTTATTTTCTTGCTAGTCTTGCTATTGCCACTGGTGACCTGGGACTCTCCGACAGTCTTACTGCTGTCTCTGGCAACTCCAGTGCTCTGCTTTGACAGTCTTACTGTTTTACACCAGTCTTAGAATATTATCACATTCAGATTCTAGTTGGAATCTGTGTCAGCATGTGTTGCCTGCAAAGGAACAGGTTAATTCAATGCTGAAAAATGGAGCCTTCTTCAGGTATGAAGGAAAGAGGTAAAGTACCCACTCCATAGCCAATATGCTGCTTCTCTTTTCTTTAATTTCAGCATGGAATTAACCTTAACCTGTTCCTCATAATCACAATTGGCATTGAATGCAGACAGACACTATCTCTTGGGCACTACCAGTTTGGCCTGAGTATCTGAAAGTCTCAGGATGAAAAGGGCTTGGTCAAAAAATTATTTTGATACAAAATATTTTAATTAAACTGATAAACGCCTATATACAGTTAGCAATTCTAATGTAATGTTATTTAACTCTTAAACTCTTAACTCTGTTGGCTACCCAGTAGAAATGATGGAATTCTTAGTGCCCATTGTGATAGGCAAGAGAAAAAAACACACAGTTTTGTCAACCCAAGGCGTGTGGTTGATATCAAATTTAGATACTGCAATTAAGTTTCTTAAAATCAATGAAGGGCCTAATCAATCTATCCGCTTTCTGTAAAGCAATAAGTGGGCTATACCATTGCAAATTTGAGTCTTCATTTGCTTCCAACTCATTTACACATTTTTTCAATCTCTTTTTGTGGTATCTGTTGCTTGTCATACAGTACTTGACCTGCATGCAAATGTCGGAAGCTGTCTATGGTGACTAATTAAATATATCTATCCTGGTTGTTCAGAAAAAACATCTCTATAAATGATGAGAGCTGGGTTTCTTTAGTGTACAAGTGTACCTATCGTGCCTGTGCCCTAAGGAGATGATACTGTGATAATCGTAAGATTGTGTTCACTCGTGTCCTTAGGTCCATGTCATGCTGTACCTCAGACTTGTGGGGAGTTTGATTATTCTCTCTGCTTTCCATTAGTAAATCCTGCTATCTATGAGCAACAGTAACCGTTGGCAACACCTAGGATATAAATACTGGTCTATAATTTGGAAGTCACTGGTACGATAATCCACTCTGTAAAGTAGATAATTCCATAACTGAAACAGGATACTGCTTGGCACCCCAGGGTTTTATCGGTAATCTACATAGCATATATATATATATTAGCCCTCATGTGATATGAAATATATATAATAGCCCTCGTCTCTGGACAGTTCCAAAGCAAAGTTTACTACAGGCTCAAAATGTTGGCTTGGATGGTTCTCCTCTTGGTTGACTTCCTGGTCAGAACTCCCTGCAGGAGGCTCTAAGGCCTTCATCAGAATCCCTACCCAAGCTGTCAGCAGGAGATGGCATTACTGATATCTCATCATTGTCCTTCCTTGAAGCTGAGAGATCAGCCCCCTTCTTTTATTTCCCATGTTGCATTGGGCACTACGCAAATTCTCTTATAATACATTTTCCTGTGAATTGTCAGCATCACTGTGTGCAGAGGATACCACTTCCTCCCCTGTGAAAACATTGTATCGGAACCTATTTTCCCTTAACCCCATGCCTCTTAGGAAAGGCACTTGTGTTTGTTCTCCCTACAGGCATTTGTGTAGGTTCTCACTACAGCTGGGGTCTAGGAGAGCCTTGACTTCATATCCTCCTACTTTTATCAGTATCATGACTAGATCTGTGCTAGAATGTAGTGAGTACTAGCATGCATCTCTTCTCTACACCTGAAACCCCAAACTCTTCTATCTCTATTGAAGGCACTCAACGATTTTGCGTCCAGCAAGTCCACAGTGCCAGCTCACCACCTCCATTCTTCCAGGGACCCACTCATGGGTTTCAGGTGGGGTAAATGAGGGGGTCAGGAGCACTTGTCAGAGTGACAGATGGCTCCAATCAGGTGATCATTAGAGCTGGCTCCTTGTGATATCTAGAATTTAGTTCCCATTAATATTCCATGTCACCTTTGCAAAGTCCTATAATTACAGTTGTGAAGGATTTATAAACCTTCATGTTACTCTGTCTGGAAACCTACAATTCTGGGATGTGTCAGCAGAACATCATAATTAAACATAATTTGTGTTCTAGTCTGTATTGTTTAAGTGAAGGCCTCTCTGGGGATATCACATTTTCTATAAATCATTAATACACTGCAGGTAAGGGCCATAGCAATGCAAGCTTTTTGGCTGGAGAGTTATTTGAGAGACAGGACTGGTAGCAGAAATTGTTGCCCTTTTTACGTGTCTAATCAAAACATTACTTCTAGTCTACAGGCCCTATTTTCTAGGCTTAATGTTAGGTGCTTCAGAATTAACCATCTAGTGTGAAGGACAGCATTCAGTAACACTGGGTAACACTATTCTACAATTAATGAAATGTCACCAAAGCCTTTTTACCCTCTGGTGTAAATTATTTTAGAAATAGCAGAATAGAAATAAGACCCGCAAAATTAAATATGCTCACAAAATGAGAATAATCATCTGTCAGTACAGTTACAGTTTTGTACTGGCAAACATAATCTAGTAGAGTATCTTTCCATACAAAGAATGGTTTATACAAGTTTATGCAACTTGATTGCATTTGCACTAATTAATGCAAATCAATGAGTTGTTATCTCAATTTCCACTCAGCTTTGTAAAGTAGTTTATTTGGCTAAAGCTAGACCCACAAACTAAAGAGTATATTGATGAACACTGATGGTATCTTGGAAGTGTCACATAGAAGGATGAGTCAAGCTCAGACAGTCAGATCACACACCAGTCATCGAAAAATATGTGAGTCAAAACCAAAAATGCTCTTTAAGGGCATATTCCCCAAACATATGTAGGTATGTACCAGGTCCACCCCATTTGTATCTGTGACAGGATTAATTGGGAGCCACTAGTCTGGTGTGTACCCCCTTTGTGCAAGTTTAAAATTGATTTCCTGCTGTGCAGTTTTTAGAGGAAGAGAAAGTATTATCACCTATTGCATTCCAAGCAATAGCATCCACATGTGTTTTTTATATCTCATATAATGTTAACAAGGAAGGGACTTATGTTAGATGAACAAAGAAGGTCATATAGAAAAGAGACTAGAGCCCCGGTGGTGACTGTTGTGTTGCTTAGCCACTGGAAGAGAGCACAAATCACACACGTCCGATTCCCTGCACCTTAGTATCATTGGGGCCAACTACAACAGCTGGTCACTTGTACCAAAAACCTGGCACACAACAAAAATCCGCTTTAGGAGGGCTGGGAGAATTCTTTAATGCAGGTATTACTAAGGAGATGTGATTCTTTTCTCCCTCTCTCTGTGGTCTGCAAGAGAGAGAGAGAAACACAGCCTCTACAGATGAGTCACACAGGCTGTTTAAGTAGCAACACCCACAGCTGTAGTTCATTAAAGCACCACGTCGCCACAGCTAGTTTCTTAAAGGCACACTGACTGAAGGCCTGTTCCACCCACAATGTAGTATGTAAACTATCTTATTGTAACAACTAGGCTGATTACATTCAGGGTTTTATAACCTTGCATTTAAACAGCTATAATTAAAATAATAAAATACATTATCATTACCTGACATTATTTATTAATAAAGGAAATCAAATAATTTAAATAAAAATCTAAATACCTGACAAAACCACTATGAGAAAGTTTTGCATGTGTCTTTCCTGATTTGTGATGCTTTTTTTATAATAACATTTTTGGTAGATAGCTGTATGGTCCTCTCACTTGCATAAATCTAGTTATGCTCCCCTCTTAAGCAGATTTTGAATCATTGACAGTTATTAAATATTATGCAAGGAATTCGGGAAGGGGGAAGTGAGACTATTAGCACAGCAATCAGCCACAGAGGATGTGAGATCCTGTGATGCATTGTGTTTAATCATGGGGAAATGTATCATTTATCAGGTGTCTTTTTTGAGGTAAAACAGCAAAAGGTGGTTATTTCTACAAATACATTAGTGACACAGTGCATAAAGTCTTAGCTTTGCAGCTATCCTCTGACAGTAGTGTGTTTTAAGCTTTGTCAATGCAGCTGAATTATTGTCTTTAACTAAAAGTTTAACTGACTGGGGAGTCAGGGGCGTTCTAGAATTAGCTCATTGGCTAATAGGTTGATTCTCATTCTTGGTCTTTTTACAACAGAAGAGGAATCAACATTTCTGTTCCCATGTATTTGCAGTTATCTCTTCAGGAAAGCACTGCTGCAGGGAGATTGTCTTCGCCCAAAGCTCCCTGAGTCAGAACCTTTCTTCTCCCCAGCCTCTGGGTCTTCTCCAGTGAGCCCCATTTAAGACCAGGAAAACATGGGCAATCTCTCAGAAGCCAAATACAAACAAAACAATTTCTCTTTTCACTTTTTACTATGTGGCTTCTTATAATGAGGTTGTTCTTGAAGCTTTTTATTTGTACCTCTTCAAAAAAATATGCAGTTACAAGACTTGTTTCATTGTCTGCTGTTAAATGTAAAACCTAATTTTCTAGTGTAAAATGCTCAGATATCTTCTCTTCTCTCTGTGCAGGATGTGGGGGAGACCTCTTTGGCCCTCAAGGCTTCTTCAATAGCCCTGGTTACCCCAACAGGTACCCTGACAATCGTGAGTGTATCTGGCACATTGAAACAGCCCCTGGAAGCAGCATCCAAATCACCATCTATGAGTTTGACATCGAGTTCCATGCTGACTGTAACTACGATTTGCTTGAGGTACAACTCTTGTACTTATTTATATTTTTTAATAAATATATTCAAAAAAGTTTAAATGATCCCACATTGCCTACTTTTATAATAATCACATCTATGTAATTTAATTCAAAATGTCCTTCTGTTCAAGATTCTAGGCTATTATTATGAAATCAAAATTCCTTTTTATTCTTTTTCTATAACTAGAAAGGACAACACTTAATATTTTGATAAAGCATTTTCAGTTGTCAGTGGGATGGCTTTTCGTATTCTTCATACTTTCAAGGAGAAATGTACAAAAATTCAACATAATGCATTCTTTAATATTGTTCTTTTCACCTGTTGCCACATCTCTGTTTTAGTATGCTTTGCTATTAGTTCACTTTGCCTTGGTTGTTTTTGTATTATTTTAGTCAGTACCTTAGTTTCTGGTTCAAGGAAACATGATTCGTGCAGATGAATGTGGTACAGTGCAGAGGCACAAACACTTCCTCTGTTCTTGCCAGTGTTTTAGAACAGAACACAATGGCAGGAAGCCGGGACTGGAATGGTTAATAATACCACCATCCACATCCCCTTTCTGCCCTTTTGGTTTTTAAAATCTGGTGTGCTCTTTTATCTTGCTTGTCCAATACAAAGTACAGGAAATGCTGTTTATTTTGCAACTTATAAAATGTAGTGAGAAAACGCCTGCTATGAAGCTGACTCAGAATTAAGACAAAACTGGTATTTATATACTGTATTGCCTTACTGGTTAGAATGTTCTAAACTCCCCCACTTCCAAATATTGTGTTGGAGATCTGGTCACAACAAGTTCAGCTTGAATGGAATGTAAAATCTGCTCAATGTTTATCCTGGTCCCATCCCAGTCTTGTACAATCAGATTGAGATTTGCGAATAACGCTATACAATAGGGGTGGGGGTCCTGGGTACTATTCTGCATCTGGGGTGCTACAGTATATGTGTGGAGTTTGTACTGTATGTTCTTCTT